TCCAGGTAGACCACATCTACAGCCTTTACACTGGTGTACCTTAATACACTGGTGTACCTTAAAATGTAAGCACCTGTAAAATTCAGTACCATGAAAACAAATGAGGCATATTAAAATTAAATCAAAGTCAAGAAGTTGAAAATAAAAGCCATTTTGCCACAGCACATAAAAGCTTTTAAAAACGTTGAAGTGTGCGAGCAAGTTGGTGCCTGCGAATAGTTACGGAAAAGGCATTGCCTGCCTGTCTCCCGGGGCATGCTGTTTCTTCTGTCACAGAGAACACTCAGCCGCTCACATCTTTCTGAATGGCACGTGTCATTGAAGCTGGCTAGACTGTTCACCTTCGGACCAAAAGTTTACGAATGTTGAAATTCTCCTGAGCAGGTGTAACCACGTCCTGCCTGCACACCTGAATTACGCTGTTATTCATGTTTGCCAGCTGGAGAAGCTGACGGACCTCCCAGTGCAAATTCAGTCAACATATTTTGAAATCCTTATTCAGTCTTCTGAAATTAATTAGTTTGCTGTTAAGTGCATTTCTTTTGTCTGGTTCCTTTCTTCTGGTTTGTAAGGTGAGGCTAGGAGGTACCAGCAGTAAAAGCGCAGTAGGGGATCCTGCCTGCCAGCGCTCCCCGGCTGTGTGAAGGGCTGCGGTGGTGGTGGCTGGTTTTAACCACCTTACGTGGGAGCCAGCAATAGCTGAGGGGCTAAACCAGGAAAACATGGTAACCATACAAGTAAGCGGGTAGTAGTTTTAAGATCAGTAAAATGTTGGGGTCTTCTCTGTCCCAATTCTGCATGTTTAATCCCTGCTCCCCAGAGCCTGAGGGAAGGCTGAAGGTGGTGGGAAGTCTGGTGAGCCAGATTTCCCCTTGGGTTTCCAAGGGGCAGGTTTCGTCGTATCCCCACGACAGCTTTTCCTTGAGCTGTGAATTGGTGTTTTGTCCGCACCAGTGCCCTGGAGAGGTCGGTTTCATTTAACTGTAAGCTGTGTCTGCGCACTGAGGTTGTCTCTGCAACCCCACTGTGAATTGTGGACAATAATGCTTACTGTAAAATGAGAATATATATGTACAGAAGTGCTATATGTGTTATTTTAAAATACTTTCAAGTTAAAATTTGAAAACTTTGACTCAAAAGGCCAGCCAATATTAGTTCATCTGTTACTTTTCATTACTTTGCTAAGAATATTAACTTGACTGGGTTGAGAGCCGGAGTACATATGAGCAAATAAAGGAAGACTCTGTGTCTTCTGACTTGGAAGAAATTCGACAGGCATAAATTAAGTTTCTAGTGCATGTTCTTCACAAAGCTTGAACTCTGTAAACAGAAGGATGTGTCCACTGATTATTTAAAATTCTGCTTTTTTTGTAGACTTCCTTTGTTGTTGATGAAGTCAGTAGCATCATTAAAGAGGTAAACAAACACTTTCATTTTGTTATCATGAAAAGTATAGTATGCTGTGTGCTAAAAGCCATTCAAGAAACACTGATAACTGATATGTAAGAGACTTCTAGAATAGGTTGCTATCAAAGTACAGATAATTGTTGATTTAACCAATATACATACTCTGAGTGGAAATGATACCTAGCTTTAATTGCGATGTGTATTACAAATCCAAAAGATAATTAAAATAATTTCATGTGCTCCTCTCTGGTTGCAGTGTATCCCTATTAGTATTTCTAGGGGGATATTTTATGTTAAACCCTATAGAGATAGATTTTATGTTTCAGTAACGTATAGGTTTTTTTTGTAGGCTGTCTGCATATGCACATTACTGTGTTCTTTTGAGATGCTTTTCTTCCAAAATGAGTTCTTGTTTGTTTGAAATGATTGAACTATTCATGTTGCTAAGAAACATGAATTTCCTGTCTAGAAAATTTCTAGAGGGATTTGGGTTTTTTGTGTCCCAAATTCCTCTTGTAAACTAGCGCAATCCTTTTCTTGTTGCAAAACAACTGTTTTGGTCAGGCTCTGTAAATTGAACACACATGCTTTAATACATGCTCCTGTCTCTTCTGAATCTGAAATAATTATGTGGTTATTTTTTTAAACAATTTCTGTGAGGGAAAAAATGTATTGATGAAAACCACGCAGCTTTAATGTACCTTTATTTGTATGTTAAAGGGGAAACTATCCTTGTAAGTAAAATGGATTATTTGGCTGAAGGCTTCTGTTCTACTAGTAACCAGCGACTATATGGGTTTTTTGGTTTGATTTGGGGTTTTGTTTCCCAAAAATGATTCCACTGAAATATCTGAAGTTCATTTCCATAGAAGAATATGTGTGAATAAGCCATTGTTGGGTGCATTTTTTCAGTCTCTTCAGGACTGTTTAAATGCAAGACCCTTTTCATAACTCTGGCTTCAGGACATTGGGATAGGGATTACAAATAATCAAAATACCACAAAATGAAGAGAAGATGGAATCTATGATAACTTACCCTTTGCCTGGCACAAACTCTGACCCGCAAGTTTTTTAATAATCGAAAACACTCGCAGCAGTCAGTATGGACAAGCAGTATTTAGGATTTTTCCTGTGGGTGTGGGTCTCACCTTTAGTGCTGCATGTTGGAGTGGCTTAATGGCTGCCTCGTAGACTGACAGGTATTGTCCCTCTTTGTCGCCAACAGGCCATAGAAAGTGCGATAGGCGGCAACGCCTACCAGCACAGCAAAGTGAACCAGTGGACAACAAGCGTGGTGGAACAAACGCTAAGCCAACTCACAAAGCTGGGGAAGCCTTTCAAGTATATTGGTGAGCAAGACTTTCTCTGTTCTGTTAAAGCTGGTGTGGTCAAGTGCGCTGATGGGTAGGGGCTGGGGGAAGATCTCAGCAAGAACCATGTCTGGAAATTACTTATAGGCATGCATATATATATATATGCGCGTGTGTGTATGTAGTATGCTAAGCAAAAATGTAGCTGAATGTTAATGTTAGTGATAAATTAATAAAAGCTTCTCTACTGACTAACAGTGACCTGTGTGATTATGCAAAAGAATGGTGCTGGGCTACATACAGCAAGCTCTTGCTTCTGGGACAACTCCAGCGATGGTAAGGAACACAACTGTTGGATTTTTCAGCTTGCAACATTACTGCTAGTCCCCTTAAGGCAGTATATTTTTCTTTGTTTCCAAGTGCTATAGTTTTGGAGTAATAGCATACAGTTTGGTATTTTGTCCATTTGGCTGTGATGGTAACTGCTATAGGTGAAATGCTTAGCCATTGTGAAAGCTTCATTGTTAATGTAAACAACTACAGACAGGCATATAAGGGTATGCATTTAATTGCTGTAACTTTCTCTGTCTCTGAAACCCTTCTTTGTGTTTGTAGGAACCTGCACTGTGAGATGGGAGAATAAGACTATGTACTGTATTGTCAGTGCCTTTGGACTTGCAATATAATTGCCTTGCAATCATTCATCCTTCTCTTTTCTACTCCAGCACTTGATTCCATCTCTGCTCAAACTGTGAATACACTGAACAACTTCAGTTTTTAATGTACTTTTTAAGTAACTTTTTTTTTTAAAACGTAGAAATGTGAAAACATGCTGTTACACGGTTTATGTTTGTACTTTGTATCGTACCAGTGTTGCCATACTGTCTTAACACTTCAAGAACTTCTCTTCAAGGTGCTAATACTGAAATCTGCTGCAGTGTAAACGCTTTCTCTAGATTTCTTTTTTAAGACCAATACAAATGAGACACCGACTTTCACACTTTGTACTCTTGGTTAGCATTAAATTATTGACATTCATAACCATTGGTGTGACTCATTTAAACTTAACTCTTTTGTTATTTTAGAACAAAAAGTTCCAGTTCTTTTAATTCTCTTCAAGATAGTTGAGGTACATACCAGAATACAAAGCACTTCCATAATTTTGCCAAAGTCACTACACAATTGCAAGAAAATCAGCTTATGTTTATCAGAAAGTAACTCGGCTGCATTTTTGGGACCTGTTCAATCTGATTGTATGGTATTTAGGGCATGGACTGATAACACAAATAACGATCTTCATTGAACAAAGGCAGATAATAAGTTTTTCACATTCTACAATTGCTTGGCAAGCTACAAGCAGGTAATCGTCCACTACTGCAGCCAGTTACACGTGTTAAGTGTGTCTTGAGCTTACCTGCTACCTTCTACATTGCTGCTGCCGATAGCGAGCGTGAGGCGTTCTGAGAGCTGGTGAAACATGATCCTCTCTGAAGGGGGAAAAAACTGCCTCAAGCACGTGAGTAAGTCTCCTGCCTTCTAGAGTAAAGTGGCAGATGAATAACAAGTAAAACAAGTTGTCAGCATAGGCTTGGATAAGGTTTTCTTTGTGAGCTAATTAAAGAAATGGGAGCATGCTATGGATTTGAGACTACCTCTGTGAACGACTTACAAAGCAAGTATTCCTGGGCTGGAGTCAGTCAGAGTGACCTGCCTTTGCTTATATTTAGGAAGCCCTGTCCAGTGTTTTCAGATCCTGGCTCTCAACTGAAGCTGTTTAGTATGAGATGACTGCCAATACAACAGTGTGTTTCCACAATCTGGAAAGACGTAATGCTGACACATCGAGTGACAGCAGAGGATTTGTTGTTTGTAGTACCATGTGCACAGGGGTGCTCTCTGTGGTAAGTTGGTAGAAAACCCTGTGCTAGGCAGAGGTTCCCAGCTCCCCAGCCCTGCTGTCAGTAGGGCAAAAAAGTTGTCTTTAGCAGCAGGCTGGGGCTTGGTACGGTTGAGACTTTTAATAGAGCTGTAAGGCTTACAGATTTCTGTTAGAATGGCTGTTCCAAAACATCTCTGTAAACACATCTCCTTCATGACAAGTCACTTCCTTATTCTAGCCTATGTCCTAGGGAGTGCTACAGGGCTATACTGAGTATATATACCTTCTGCTGAGGAGCATATAGAGAGATCTACCTGACATTTCTGTAGCAGAGAGGGTTTTAGCATGGGTTTGACTAGAGTATTCAGTGTCAGAAATGATACACCACCTGGAAAAAAAAATATTAAAGATTGAATCAAGTGCCTGAAAATAGGTACCAGGGTGAGAGAGAACCTGGTCATAAAGAGAATAAATCTTTGATCTCTGAAGGGCTAAGGAAATTCTTAGTCTGGATGGTTTATCTCTCTCCTTTCCATCAGCATGCCAGAATGATGCTGGTAGCATAGTACCTACTCACCTGTTTATTTACATTTAAAAGAAATAGTTTTGTGCACTTATTTACTTCCAGAAACACTCAGCATCTCGGTCAAGCCATTCAAACATTCCTTGCCCTTTGTTCATGCTAATAATAGCAAATCCCTTGATTTTTTTTTTTAATCTTTGTTGATTTGTGCATATGCTGAACTGCAGAAGAAAACGTCCGAGACACTTGTTAGTGTAAAAGCTGTATGG